AATTTTTAGAGGAAACCCTTTTTTACTGCTTAAAATGGTGAGTTTTTAATATTTGGATCTATTAAAAAAAAAACACGACCCATTATTTCATATTTTTTGGTCCGTCGCTGAGGGCAACAAATTTTTTTTTTTGGCCTGATGAAATATTACTGGCCACATTAGCACTCTTTGCAAGACACAAAATATTCAAATCATTTCACAAGTTGGCGAGCTCTGTTGCTAAGTTGGAATCAACTCGTCCAATATGGCACTTTACGGAATTCATTGTAATAATAAAGCGAGAACAGTAATATTGCTTTAGACTAACATTTTAATAGTCATAATCCATATTCTCTGTACTGACCGGTAATCTTTAGTGTATGGTCATTATACCGTTCATAAGGGTCCAAAAAAGCCATAAGGTCAGTCCAATACTATTTAAAATAAAGACATATAAATTCAAAAGAAAGAAAGAAAGAAAAAATAAAACGCACTATTATCTCCATGTGAAATGATAATACATCAAGTTTGAAATTTTCTATTTCATCAAAATAAACATTAATGGAAGCAATGGATACAATTGGTCAACAACCATCGGCCAATCATGCTGGAATAAAATAGATACTTTTAGGATGGTTGTGTAATATAACTGGACACAAGACAACAAATCCTTTGTAATACATAATTTTGTTAACATTTCCTGAAGAAATAAAATTAGATACGATGTATAACCCTACATTTAAAAAAAATAAGAAATAGAACACAATCGTCTAACAATTTAGATTCTGAAAACTCCCCCACTCCTCCCCATATATATAAAATATTTCAGTGTTGCCACATCCAGTCTATCTATACATACATTACCCACAATGCATCATGAAGTTTTCAATAACACCAAGAAATTATGAATGAGGAAAAAAGGGTATGAAAATAATTTCAATTAAAAACCTTTTTTTACCCATGTTTTAATACAAGCACCAAATTAATCTGAAGGCCAAAAAGCATCATGTACCAGGAATCAACGACAATTTACAGTAACAAAACTGAGGCCAGCAATCAACAGTATTAGGCAATATCTTACAAATATTGCAGCATTAATTCTAATTGCACTTGTATACAATGTTCTTAAAACTGGTTTGAACCTGTTTAGACAAGTTTGAATTGGGAAAGGATAGCATAGAAATAAAAACAGATTTAAAACGTAGAACATTGCAAGACAATTACTTTACATTGCAAAAAATTTCTCTCAGTATTGCAAGGTTAGTCAAACACTAAAACACTGCTATGAATGCTTGTTGTACAACTTGTTTGATTCCCAAAGCCACATTCTGTTCACAACTTAATTAGCTCAGTTGCAACTGAAAGGGAGATTCACAATTGTGACCAATTTATTTACACAAATTCACCTTAATGTGCTGGATGTACCAAGATTTTTGGCAAACACCAATCATGGCAATGGTAACAGTCAACCAATCTTGTAGTGTGAGCTAGCTCATCTCTGCTAACCCGATCCAGTTCAACTGTTACTAAAACCCCCCACACAAGGTTTCAACATAAAGTACAGAAAATAGTTTCTTTTCCGATACTCCAATTAACTAAGCAGTTTGATATTTTCAAAATTAAAAGATTAAGAGCAGTTTTATTTAGTCTTATATGTTTGATTATAGGATCATGTTAACGTTTTGATGGCCCCCATCTTGGAGCATTGCCTCCTGATGTAGGGGCAGCAGCAACAGAGCCTAAACTGGGATATTCCTGAGTACTGGTGGTGTCAGGAGGTTTGTTCCAAGGAGCATCTCTTACAACAAAGCCCCTTGGCTGATTCTTCTCTCTGTATTCCGATGTAGACCTTGGAGGAGACATGTACTGTTGTAACATTGATCTCTCTGTGATATCTTGCATCTGAAAAGATAAAGTCATAACAAAATTATTAAATCTTTTAGCCCACTATCAGTTTAACATTTTGAGTACAGGCTTTGGCTTGCACACTCACCTAGGGTAGGTGGCTTTGGCTTCCTTACTATGGCACACTCGCCTGAAGTTTTGACTTTCCTATCATGGCATGGGATTACCCTTTTCTGGTGTTAAACACCAGATACATTTTAAAACTCAGAACCTAAAAACTACTGTATCAGTGATTGGTGCACAGATTTATACAAAACCAAATGCAACTTACAAATTCTTCTTCTAAATTGAGTAGATGGTCCTTTGCATCAAGCACATCATCCTCCATTCCAGTTATGGTAACAAGATCGGGATCCACATCATTGCCTCGAGGGAACCGAATATCAACTTTATAATCTTCCATAACTTTACGAATTGCATGGCCTTTGTTGCCAATTAAACGGGGATGTACACGCTGGTCAATTTTCACTTCTACAGTCGACATATCCTCCTGAAACACCAAATCAATGTCCGTCAATCAATTGCCTCTTAAGAAAATGTTCAACAGAGGCACAAACAAGCTCATATGATACAAGAGTCAGGTTTAAAATCTCTCAAAAATTTGAAGAAAAAAAATCTCGTCAAATTTTTAATAGAGATATGTCATTTAACATGGCATATATCAGTAATGTGCACGAGTGGGCATAATTTGTAACATCAATACAAAGACGGAATAAATTCTGCAAAGACATGAAACTTGATGTTGATTGTGTTTTGTTGGTCAAAGATCAACAGAAACTAATGAGTCTATTATGGCTTGCCATTGTACCAAATGATGACAGACTGATGACCAAACAAAACCCAAAACACAAGTTCCTGCTTTGGATTTTGTCTGAAATGTACAAAGGTGGGTGCAGACACTATGCTGACACACAAAGGTTATTTTGATTCAGTAATACACGATTCAAAAATGTAAAATTTACCCAATGTACCAGGTATATAAAATTGGGTTATCAGAATAAACAAATTTTTAGAGAGGTCCATCTCAAGGTTCCTACATAACTAAATAATAAAGCCACATGCATGGCTAACTTATCACGACAAATTCAAATGTGAAGTTGATGACTCAACAAACAGTAAATATGAATACTAGTAACTCCACTTGACATTCTCAACTGTTGAGATAAAAACTAAATTATGTGATTAAACTTACTAGTTCCTGAACAATCTTGAGGATGGCTTGTTTAGCAGCTTCAGCATTTTGTTCATATCCAGTTATTGTGATTGTGTTCATTTGCTCACTATCTCTATCAGGAAACTGAATATTAACAGAGTGGTCCTGTCGAATTTTAGTTATTACTTGTCCTCTACGACCAATAATCTTGGGGTGATGTACGGGACTCACATTTACAGTCAGCTGAAAGTTACGCAAGACCTACAATACAAAGATTATACATTTAGAGACAAAACTACATGTACACGTTTATTTTACAAGCAAATACACCGCCTTTGAATACCCCTATCATGTTCAGTCAGTGACTATTTGTTCTATCAGAAGTAAATCTTGATTGGACATGAACAAAATATTGCATTTATTGTATACTGGACTTGATTTATTTAGGAGCTATAAATAGAACAAATACAGTATGGTTAACAGCTTCAAACAAAAACCTACCCTGTCTTCCTTTTCTTTTTCCAGTTCCTCAACTCTATTCAGTAATGCAATCTTTGCATTTTCTACATTGTTGACTGGGCCCGTTACTCTGATTATACTGGATTGCTGTGCTGGAGGTGGTATGGCAATATTTACCTGCAAGAGATAAAACATCAAATGACAAATTAATTTGTAACTATAGTATTTACTATTTATTTAATTGATATACAAACTAATGTTTGACACACTGAAACTAGCCGCAAGCAGACTAAACTAGCCGCAAGCAGACTAAACTAGCCGCAAGCAGACTAAACTAGCCGCAAGCAGACTATATGCGATTCCCCACCAATATTTCTTATTATTCAGAGATTATCAACTGAGGGTTTGAAAGAGACAGAAGTTGACTTTGGTGTACTATGCATCAAACAACTATACAAGGATGCCACTAATAATCTATTACAAAGAGGA